GATCCAACAGAAAACAGGAATGTGACACATTGTATTGAGGCTTCTTGAAGTCCAATATGAGAGATGATTTTACTGGCCAGTTCCTTGTCTTGGAGTCTCTTTCTGAAGTATTCTTCCTTCCGCTGGTTTGTGAAACCTCTGATTTCTGTCTCACTGTCAACATACTGAATAGGGATCTGATGGACTGCCGCGGGTCGTGTGGTTATCCAGAGACGAGCTGAGGGAAGTAGCTTCCCTCTGATGAGGTTTACGAGTATCGTGTGGACTGAGGAGGGTTCTGTAGCATCTGTCAGAACCGGAGTGTAGTGGAAGTCCAGAGGAGGTTGAAGTTCATCCAGACCATCGAAGATAAACATAATCTGGAACTCTTCAAAGCTACAGATTCCTGCTTTTCTGATTTCAGGAAAGAAGTGATGAATGAGTCCCACTAAGGTGATGTTTTGAGATTTCAGCAAGTTGAGCTCTCGGAAGGTGAATGGGAAGATAAACTGTATGTTGTGGTTGGCTTTACCTTCAGCCCAGTCCAAAGTGTACTTCTGTGTCAAGACTGTTTTCCCACCCAGCACCTTTGGTCACCAGCGTTCTGACTTCTTCGTCTCTTCTAGGTTCAAAAACATCCTCACAGCTGACGGTTGTTCCTGGATCTTCTGGTTTCAAGGATGCTGCTTCAGTTTGTTGGACCTCATGCTCATTCTTGACCTCTCCTTTCTCTTGCTCTGTGACATTAAGCTCAGTGTAGATCTGATTTATAGATATCAGTTTTCCTCTCCATGAATTACCTTCAAATAAGTACTGACACCTTTTGGCCAGGCTGGACTTTAATTTCACCTGACAAATAGCAGCTTGAGTTCCTGAAACAGACAACATAAGAGCTTGTTGTGAATATGAGGTAAATACACAAATAAAAACCATCTCTTCTCAGCTCGGGATTACTTTATTGATCCAGATGTGAATACCAAGTCACCATCATGAGACATTATTAAAAATGAGAATGTGATGATTTCTCACTGTTTTGTAAAGAAACAGCCAGCTGCTTCTCATTCCGTCTCTTCAGGAAGTTCAGTGTGATTTTCAGGAATGAATCTCTGTCGTCAGTCCTTTGCTCTTCATTCCCAGATGTTTGATCATCCACTTTAGGGCAACTGGAGCCCTCTGGGCTCAGCATGGTCTTCATCTTCTGCAGCTCAGTTCTTACAAAACTCATAATGTCATTCTCAAGCACCTGGAAAAGAACAAAAATCCAATGACACCCTTTTTTCCAATAAAATTTTAATGCCGTCTCTGTTCATGCAAAATACATCTTTTAAATAAATAACATTATAAGATGTTCAAAACTGTGTGTGTGTACGTGCGTGTGTGTCTGTGTGTGTGTGTGTTCATGTTCCTACCCGTCACTATATCGACTATAGAAATAAAGGTAATCAGAATTCTTCAATTTAAACGGCACAAAACGGATGCAGGTGGATTTGTTGAATATTTGAAAAACTCTGAGGATTTTGTGTCGTTCTTCCAGAGCTGCAAAAAAATTCAAAAAGCTTAGTGTCTATATTACTAAAATTACAGATAAGGTTAAAATTATTAGGCAAAATTATTAGGCACCCCATGGAATTATAAGTCTTTTTCAAAGATTCACAAATGTGTTTTTAAATACAGCTTTTCTATTTATTTTGGATGCTTACATTTTTCTATGTTTTGCACCAAATTCTTTCCTGGAAATCAAAACCTTCCACGGTCAAAATGAATCGTTGCTCTGATGCCGATCACATCTTTGCGTCTCTCCGGAGAAATCCTCCAGATTTGATGGTCTTCCCTCATGGACTCTGCTCTTCAGTAGGTCAGGGCTTTGAATAGGCCAGTCAGGAACGTTCTGCCTGGGTTTCTGGACGGAGCTCATGTTTCAGCTCGTTGTCGTGTTGGGAGACAAACCGACAACCCAAACCCGGTTCTGCTGCTGACTGCTAGAGGTTTTCCTTCTAAATCTTCAAACATCGTTCTTTCTCCATCATTCCTCCAACCTTGATGAGATTCCCAGTTCCAGGAGTCACACAGCATGATACTTCCACCCCATGTTTCACAGTGAGGACGGTGATCTTCAGTCAAACTCCAGGCTCTACTCTGGTCTCCTGTGGCTTCAGTATCCATAATCTTTGCCCAGATTGTCCTTGAACGCATCTCTTCGCAGTCCTTTTCTGTGCAGAGCTCTACTTTGTTTTGGTGGTTGTTCCAGGACTTTTGGACACGTCTTACTTTTTTTAGTTCCTTTGCCAGACTTGTCCTGTACTTTGAGTTCCTCTCTCCACTTCTTGACACTTGGAAACTCTGTGATAACTTTACATTTTCTTCTCCTGCTTTGTGAGCATCAACCATTTCTTTTTCTCAAGTCTGAACTGAATTCTTTAGCTTTTGGCATGACGCTTTCTCAGGTGACAGCTCAAAGCCTCAATAAGAATTTTATTGTCGATTGACTGAATGCAAGTGAAAGCACATGATTTCACAGCAGTGGTTTGCACTTTGGCTAAATCAATAGGCCAGTTCTTTAGAGGGTAATAATTGGTTTTGTAAGATTCCAAAATAAAAACCAGGATGTTTGGAAAAGTCATACTGAAGCATCATTGATCTGTTTAACAGCACCTGAGAAATCTTTGAAAAAACTTAAAGTTTCAGCAGAGGGTTTAGTCATTTTAACATCAGCTGTCAGTTTTTTTGCCTGTTTTTGTCACATGATGCTTACAGTAATTAGTGTCGATGTAGTACGGTATGTAGACGTACTCTCCGGATTTGAACCACTTGCAGCCTGTGATGGTGCACGGGTCTGCATTCCTCTTTAAGATTTTTGGCATAGCAATGTCATCATATCGCTTTGGCTCTGCGACACAGCAAATGACAGACAAACACAGACAGGAATGCAAAAACAAGACTGCAATTTTAAATTCATCTGACATCAAAACCATGCGTATTTGTTGTTATTTTAAGGATTAGAGTTAAAATGATACGTTTTTCTCATTATTATCTGCTGGGTGTTTTTGTTTTGTGAGCTTGTGTCTCACCTTTGTCAGCTTGTGGTTGTGGGATGCTTTTAAAGATATCCATAAACTCTTCTGAGAAAGAAATGTTGCCAGAACCTTTGGTTAAATTTATGCCTCTGCTGTGTCAGATAAAATTGATCTTTGTTTCAAACTCACTGGGATACTGAGCAGGTTCTACTACAGGACTCTGGAACACAGATGGAAGAAAACTGCGTCATTTTGGTCTTTTACATGTTGAAACTTTTCTTTTTTTAAAAAATAAATACAATCAAAACGAAGAACAGCCTTTCATAAATCTTGGGTTTTGTCTAAGCTGTGAGGTGAATCAGTAAAACGAACTGATCCCATCATAAACTTACCGTGTCGACAGTTTCCACTGAGTTGAAGAGAAGGGACAGAAAAACCGGGATCATGATGAAGGTCCTGAAGCTTCATCGTGACACGAAAAGAAAATATGCTTTCTTTCTGTTTCAGTTTGAAAGCATGTAAACATGATGAAGAAAACAAATGGGAGTTAAAGAAGAGTCAGAGAGCCGTTTACCTGACGGAGCAGCTGAGGCTCAGATCCCGTCTGACACAAGAAACTGCTGACCAAGCTTTTTATATCCATCATTAATCCAGATGGGACAATCTGTTCCCAAAATAAACCAGTGCTGTTAAAAGTTGCAGGTGAAGTGCATCACTGTTTGGTCCCGTCTTTGCACAATGTAGCAGCTTTTAACAACATGCAGCTCACGTGAACATAGAAGCAAATCTGTTTTTACAAAAATACAAAATGGAAAAAACAGAAGTCCAACTGAAAACAAAATGCTTTTAGCTCTTCCAGATGAGAAAGTGAAATAAATGTTGGGCTGTTTCTCCCAGGTGATTTTAAATCTCTTCTGAAAACTCGTTTGTTTTCCTTTTCTTTTAATCCTTGGAGCTGGAGGATTAGGGCGATTCAGTCAATATTTCTTCTGCTTTCATTGCTTATTTTATCCTGTCATTGTTATTTTGCCTATTCTTTCATTGGAAGTAGTAGAGTTGTTATCGACTAATAACATTCTAGAACATTTGTGCAGGGAGGTCATGATATTGACCACATAAAGAACAGAAATATGTTTATATTATGACACAAAGCACACTGGCATTTTGTAAGTCAGCGTTTCTGTTTCTCAACTAAAAATTAAAAGCTACATCCTTTGTAACAGGAGTATCCATCACAAAAGTTTCATCACTTACAGCACCAGAATGTAACTTTTATAGAAAAAATATTTTTACATACTTGTTAATATTATCATTATGTTCTGACAGTATCACATAAAACAGATAATCTGTGGAAAAATCGAGATCCTCTGCAGAAGCAAACCACTCAGTCAAAAACAACCAATCAGAGGCAGTAGGAGGGTCTTAGCGCTGTCCATCACTCTCATCCTCTTGCTTTTTACAAAACTACAGGCTATGCTGGCTCACCGCAACATAGCCTGCTAGTTAGCAAAGCCACAGATTATGGTAGATAAACAGGTTTTTTGTAACTTGGAGTTGCTTTTCAATCAATAGCAGATTTAAAAGAGTACAGGAGGATGATTAGCAGCGCTAAGCCCCTCCTCCTGGCTCTGATTGGCTGTTTTTGACCAGGAGAGGAACATTTCTTCAGAGGGCAATGGCAGGAGGAAATAGAGGAGTTGATTTTTTGTTTTCATTGCTCATCTGTCTCACAAGTCACAACCATGTTTATTCTTACTTCAAAATAAAGTAAGAATTAACATTTTATTGTATCTAAACTCATTTAAAACTCTGATTATGGTTAGCATAAGAGCACAAATATAGTCTATGAATATATACTTTTATTTATCTCACCTGCTTTACATTATTTTAGCATTAATTTTTAAACAACTTCATACTGAAAGTGTGGAGGCTTTTATTTGTGGTGCTGCACTAAAGAAACCCTGATCTTTGTCCCAAATGTCCAACTGTTACAGAGAGAAAGAAACATTGATGTTGGAATGATCAAATTTTATTTGGTACTTGATTGAATGGATTACATGAATTACAATACCATTAAATTTCAGAAAAAACATGTTGGTCACAAGAATAAAACATGTTGGATGAGAACTTGTAACATTATGTAGATAAAAACCTTTTTAGTCCAAATGTAATTGGGGAACTTTTACATTTCACATTTCCATAGATTGTACATTCTTGAATAATTGCCTTTTATTTAGATATTTTATACCAGTCCAGTCCATCTTTCCATCTTACACAGTTTTTATGTCACATAATTTACTTAACCAAAATTCCCCTTAGATTTATCTTCAATTGAAACATTCCTTTCCATTTTTTATAGCAGATGCAAAAAAAGCCAAATCATAGTATAAAAGAAAACCTTTTTTGATAAGAAATCCTTCACCAATAAGCACCAATATGTATTCTGACATTAACAGATTGAGATGTAATACCCAAAAATCTGTTTCTTCAGCAACTGTCTTCAGCAGTTATGTAGTTAAGTAGTTAAATGCAGTAAATGAGACAGCAGAGGAAGAGTTTCTGTAGCTCTGAGATTTTGAGAGAGGAGCAGGTCAGAGCCGAAGGTCAGCTGGCGAGCTGAAGTTTCTCCTTCATGGTGTTGAAAATTAAGCTGAGAGAAAAAGTACCGTAAGTCATACAGCTGCTGGAAATGCTAGAGAAATGTTTGAAAAGATCAATATTTTACTCACAGCATCCGTAGAGCCTGTTGATGCGGGCGATGTCGTTGGCGCTCATCGATGAGGCTCTTCCAAAGTCGAGGGAAGGATTAGCTTTGGAAAGGAGAGTCGGTTGGCCGTTTCTGGAGAAGGCGGTCCTGGAAGAAGGAGGAAGTGATGAACAAAATGCATCTGCAGTCACAGTCAGACTGAAAACAGCAAGCTGTGTGTAACACAATAGAAGGTATTTTTGAAGCCAAGACTCACTTGGAGTAATGCATAACGGAGTTGAAGTCGTAGGGAGTGCCCAGGTTGTTAGTCTGCACCTTCTCAAAGTTGTGTTCGTTCCCTGATTAAGAAAAAAAGTTAACTTTTTAAATTGTCACCTTATTTCAGAAAATGTCACTTTTCCATTGCAATAGATAAAAGTAGAACATGAGGCAATGTGATCTTACAGTTTAAATGTCAGTTTCCAAACTTCCCACACAAAAACCCGCTGAGTTCTCTGTCTGATTTTGGTCATTTGGAAAGTATTAAGTTCCCTATGAATGACTGAATGGATCTGAATGCAAATAGTTTTTTTTTCCATTTCTGTCCAAATGTGCAAAATACAGAAATGTATGACTTGTTTAAAATACTTCTGTTTTCAGATCTAACCAAGATGTTCTGCAGATAGAAGCATTAAGCCACGGTTGTGTGACTGAGCCGACCTGGGATGATGTTCTGGGTGAGGACCTGGACGAAGGAGTCTCTGTCAGAGCGGACCTGTTCGTGGTGGAAGCCCAGAGCGTGGTTGATCTCATGCTGCACCGTGGAGTGATACATGCAGCCATTACTACTAAGAGACACAAGCTGTTGTCCGCCCTGACGGCCCAGGTAGGACCAGCACCTGACGGGGAGATCAGGAGGAAATCAGTGGAAATGTGTGGAAGTAAAAGTCACGGTATGTGACTGAGTTCCTACCCAGATCCTGAGTAGAAGTGAAGGAAGTCCGTTTGCTGTGATGAAGTCCTCCAGATAAAGCGAATGCAGGTGGAGGCGTGGAAGCGCACCAGGCCATTGATGATGATGTAATGCTCTGCCGTGGCTGCAAAACAAAACATCTTACACCAAGGTCCTAACTACAAAACAAACTCCAACTCAGACATCATCTACTGTTCCCTCTGCCTTCTGAAATAAACATGAAGGAACTTGGAAAAGTTTGCATCTATTTTAAAGTCTTGTGTGTTTATTCGGGTGATGGTTTTGCTCACAGTAAGAGCTGGAGATGACGACGGGAACGTAGACATAGCTTCCAGTTTTGGGCCATTTGCAGCCGGTGGCGGTGCATGGGACTGCGTTCCTCGATTTGCTCGGAGCAATGTCACCATGGACCAGTGGAGTCTCTGCAGAAACACAAAACACACAACAGAGTGAAGAACATTGATTCTTATGACACAAAGGATTTTTGTGTATTCTTTGACCTCTGCATCTTGAACAAGACATGCTGCATTGAGCTGGCCAATGAAAGCACTCCAGGAGAGTACAGAGTCTTTTACTACTTATTCTTATTACACACAAGGAACCAATGTATTGTTTTATACTTTTACAATATTTTTAAAATGCTTTGCTATCCTGGTTAGAAATTGTACAGACTGCAAATAAACCGATTGATCACTAGTGAAATGTAGGGACAGTTCCTTATGCAAATTAAAAAATATCCAGTTTCTTATCAGGCTTGAAGATTTGACAAAGGCAAACCATTAAGCTAATTTCTGAGAAATGAATCAGTCGATTTATTAATAGATGATGATTATTTTTTTGTCTTGACTTGCAAATATAAAATTACATTCAAAGCTGTTGGGTTGTGTGAAATTGCTCTCTTACTTATGCCTTCGTTTGCTTTGGAGATGGTTTCTGTGACGTCCGTGTCCTCATCTGTGGGAGGAAGGAAAGAAATCCACATGTCAGAGATTTCAGTTTCACTTCAAGTTTCTTTTATTTTTTCTACTCACTGATTTGGTTTTCACTGTCATCTGCTTTCTGCAACACAAACAGAGATTTCAGCATTTAATGACAACCACATTTCTTCTGCTTCATGATGGTTTGGATATTTGCTGTTGATGCTGCATTGCAAACCCAATATATCTAAACACATTAGGCTTCCCTATGTTGGATGAAACAAATTAGTTTTATTTGTCTCCCTTCAAACTTACCAGAGGAACAGCCGCCATCCTTGCCATCGAGATGGTGAGGAAGAAGAAAAAGAAAACTCTAAACATCTTGCTTTTCTGCAGGGAAGCTTCTGACCTGAAAAAATCCAAATCTAAACAGAGTTTTGTTGTTAAGATAACAGTTCAAGTCTTGGAAGATAAAAGCGGTTTGTTAAAGCAATAAGAGAGGAATGTGAGTGGAGGAGAAGAGGCTACCTGTCAGTCCAGGAGTCTGAGGCTGGATGCAGAAGCAGCTCAGCCTCCCACCTTTTAAACGCTGAGAACACGGGGTGTGCCTCAGGGCTCATTGTTTGTGCATCAGTCACCTGTCAAGTATCTTATTGATCTTGGACCAAAATGGGAACACAGCTTTTTTTTTCCCATCACTTGAAGGAAGTTGTCAAATGTTAAGTTATATGCAAATATTTAATTTGCCACTTGAATTATTGTTTTGAAACTATCAATGTAAAGGTGTAATAAAATGTAATTGTTTAGAAAAAGTCAGATCTACAATTCAGAAATAGAAGTATACTCACAAAAACAGAAAGAGCTAAAAAACAACCTCAACGTTTAATGTTCAGTTAAATGTTAAGTACATTTTAATGAGCTTACATTATTATTACTCTGATTGGGATTTAATTGCCCTGAGAATAAACCTGAAGTGGATAATAGGAAAAGCTTTGAGCTGAACAGTTTGGACTTTAATGATCAGAAAATTCACAGAATGAATTCAGAGATATTAGAAGCTAAATTATTTATTTGTAGTAAGGTTTCCATGTTGCATGTCCTGGTTCTCTCAGGGGTCTCCAAACTCTCAAACTGACTCGTTTAAAGAGCTTCACTGTGGATGGAAGAAGTTTTTCTAAGCATGTGGCGAAAAAGTTTGTTTTCATTCATGTCAGAAACCACATTTAATGTGATGACAGCAGGCATGTGGATGGACCAGTTAATCCAGGACTGCGACTATTAACTCACCTTCTTGTTCCTCCACTTAACAATTGCCACATTGTTGAAGACATTTGAATCTGTCAATCAGTCGGCTGCTTCATTGCAACATGGGATCTTCATCTGCAGGTCGCAAATCCGACCTTCTGGGTTTACTGGCCACCAGTCTCCAGAACAGAGGTGTTAAAAGTGCGGCCCAGGGGCCATTTGCAGCCGTCTGAGGGACTTTGGGCGGCCGAGATGGAGCAAATCTGGCCTGCTAGGGTAAAATGGTTGATGCAGGTGGAAGCTTTTTCAACATTTTGACATCTTCTTAAAACAATATTGAAAAATAGATTGAAATTTATTAATTAGATTTTCCATTTATTTTAATTTTGGAGTAACTAGAACAACAAGTGTTGACCTACTTTTTCTCAAAAGCAAAACTTTCTTCTCATTCAGGAAAACAACACAGGAAATGCAGAAATCAGTGAGACTGATGTGAGTGCATTTATCTATGTGAACAAACACTCATTTGTAGTGTGTGCGCTTAAATCTCACTCAAAACCTATTTTGTCACACTCTCCTCCCAGATCCCCCTTCCTCATTTGCAACTTAACAAACATATATAAATATGTAAATAAATATGTTAACCATTAATGTTAAAGTTAGGCCCACCAGAACAGAAACACAAACACTGCAGAAAGTTTTAAACAGTTTTTTTGTCATGGGGCCCCAGATTCTTGGCGGCGCCCCTGTGTTACACTAATCGGGTTTTGAGTAATTGGATTTACTTGTTTTTTTTGTAAACTGTTTAACATTTTTTTTCACTTGATAGAAAAATTGCACAACTTTGTGTTGGTTTATCATCTGCAATTCCAACAAGATTTTTGATTGAAAGGTGATGAAACGTGGAAAAGTTTTTAACTATAAGATCATCTGTGGAGGCGGCAACAGAAACTCAGTAAATTTTTCTAGTGTTCTTAGTCATCATCCTTCTCTAAATCCACAAAATACAGATAGACTGGACAATGAAATGAAATGCTGAAAAACAGTCATTTGCAAAATCCATAATATTTCCTAATCTTACATGTTTTTATGAAACACATTTCTTTCATTAAATCCTTTACTTGAGTTTCTTTTTCTTTTCAAGTAGGTCATAAGTGATGACCTTCTTATCATTTTGCTCTCACCTACATAAAGCATTCAGGTTGTTGAAAATGAAAGCTGAAACTCGGTAAATCAATAAGCCATATGAAAATAAACATTGATTAGTATCAGATAAGTGAGGGTGAATAGATGACACATTCATCTGCCTGTACGAGAAAAGGCTGGACGGGAAACCAGGAAATGATAAAAATATGAAGTGAACAATCACATTATATATATGTTTTATATATACTTTTTATTTTAAACTTTTGTTGGTATTTTGTCGTTTTAGGTTGTTGTTTATGTCCATAAATAGTTTCACTATAAGTGAAATAAGTGTTTTATTTAGATCTTAAGCTCACAAGGAACTAAAAAATATCTTCAGGAATACCGTAACAAAAGAAAAACAAGTCTGTCAAGTGTCTGTCATTTTTAGAAAATGACAGCCTCCTTTCATGAGAACTATTTTAAAAACAATACATTGTGTCACTTGGAACACACCTGGAAACCTGGTGAAGTTGGCATGAGGAAAAACTGTACACTGAACTTCCAGGAACAACTGAGGCATATTTAATTTTTAGTTTGCATGTAAGCCAAACTCACACCTTTGCACAGAAATACCTTTTCATTTAAATGCCATGTTTATTTTTTTCTCTCCAATCCAAAAGCATCCAAAAAGTTTCTAATTTCATTACACATTTCCGTAATATTTAGATAAATGTCTCTCATCAGGTTGCATCATTCTTTCTTCTAACAAGCGACATTCATACTGAATGTTTGAGTTTTATTTATAAAAACTTTATTTAAACTGGTTTGTTTCCAGTGAGAAACCCACAATTTTCTAATCAGATCTTATATTTATAAAATAACACGTCATAATTACAAGATCCTGATCTCATAAGTTTGAGAAAAGATCTCATAATCACATCTCACCTCATAACGCAGTGGTACCATAAATTGATTTATTCAAAATTAGCATTGCTGGAGGATTTTTTATAGTTTTGTTTTATGTTTGGTAAATGTTGCAAATCCTTGACAAGTCATGATTTTTGTCATTGTTTCTATGCTTCTCTCACCTCAGTGGCTGCAAACATATTTTCCTGCCAGTTTACAGGACAAAATGCTAAATATTGACAAAAACATCACCTGCTCTCTGGTTCAGGTTTAGTAAATCGCAATACGGGTTGTAAGTCGAGACATTTTCATTTTCTCCTCCCAGTATTTTACATTTACTGACTTTTCATTTAATTACAACAAGTAGCAACATTATCATTTTAAAGCAGTTATTTACCAACAAGCCATATCAAAACTTATTTAAAGAGAGACAACTTTGCAGAGTTGTTGCAGCTGAAAGTTTGTCGTTGGATGTCATTGTTCTTCTCTGAGGTGAAAAACATCAGATCAGCCAGCAGGAGTCTGTCTGATGTTCCGGCACCACTGCGTCTGAAAAGAACCCGGTCGACTCTGCTGGATGCAGCTCTGGCACCAGAAAGTCTGATTTTCTGTACAAAGACAATTAAGTTACTTCACAATTTTTGAAAAACGGGGGATGCCCAGTTTCTACACACAGATCCGAATCAACTTTTACGAAGGTCGATCTGGTTTGACAGATACGACTCATTTGTTTATCCTGCATGGATTTTTTTTTTCTAATCACGTCTTTAAAAAATGTCATTGTTCACTGAGACGTTTTGGCATAATGTTCATGATGCATCCATGTTGGGCATGCTGCACATGTTCTGAATGTATCGCATGATAAACACAGTGGGAACCGGCACTGGGCCCAAAGGACATGAAGTGGAAATCGTGCTCAGCTCCCCTGCTGGGTCAGAAAACGCAGAGTGACAAGATTAAATTTAGACTTTGTTCACGCAGCAGGTAAATGTAAACTGAGTCCCGCTTTTTCACGGCTCAGTTTTGATCTTTTCAAAAATCCGATTTGTGCCACTAACAGACGTGGAACTAAAGCCGATGTCAGAACTAGCATGTCACATTTTATCTGGCTTTTCGTCATTGATGTGAAACATGCATCATATTTCTGCACCAGCAGAAACCAAAAGCAGTAAATTAAAATCATGAACATTCTGAACTCATAAGAAGTCTGTCAGTATACATGTGTACAAAACTTTGTTGATTTTCCAGCGATGTCAAAAAAATTAAATTTTGCAAAGATGGCATTTCCATTAAATAAGAATCACACATGAATAATTTTGTTAGAAAACTTGCTGCGCCGTCGTCCTCCATCTACTTCCTGTTGTCTTCTTCTTCGTGGGTTACGCCAGTGGCAACATACTGTTGGCCGTGTGACTTGTATGATGAGAAAAAAGTGTTTCCATTGCAGTTTTGCAAAATATCCACTTTCGATTCTGCCAAAAAAATAACACCACATCCTTGTGCCAATGTTTTTTTTTATCTGAATAATAAGTTTTCTCAAATTTGGTTTGTTTCCATGAAGCAAGTGTATCTTTCAAAATGTCAAATTGTGCATTTATAGTGGAAACACTGTGAAGCACATCATAAGACAACCTCCCTATTCTTCACATAAAAAACAAATGTTTATCAGTTAATACGCCATAAAAGGCCTTTGCTATTAGCTCTGCTTCATTTTTATCAGCTTCCTCTGTTTTATTTTCATATTGTGACAATACTTTCACCTCTCTTTGCTAAATGTCTCCAAAATTGATCCACATCATCATTACTTCGATCAACAATGCACTGCTGCACTTTGTTCTTCTTCTTAGGCTTAAATGTTTCTGAGCCGTCGCTGCACTTACTTTACCTACTTTTTCCTACTGTTCTCCATTTATTTTAATAATGGTTTTACACTGTAAAAACTCAAAATCTCCAAGTGTTTTTATTCCAGTTTCTGCTGCAAATGTATTAATTCACATGGGACGGGAGAAAGCTAACTTACTAGTTTTATACTTTTGTTTTTATTCTGGTTTTAGCAGAAAGCAAACAAATAGAATAGAGAATCTGGAGACTTTTACTCTTGAAACCAGAAAACAAGATAAGTACAAATAAAAAATAATGCTAAATAAAACTTAAATGACTGCACAATCATTATGTAGAGCCATTACATTTGGATTTTTTAAAATTAATTTACAGTCGCCTGACATGCCGCCTGCAGGCATGAAAGCTCGGGAATTAGTTGGCAAGCCGGTGCTTAGCATAGCTTTTGTTGGCTTACGAGTAATGATCGTGCCATCTTTCTTTAGTTGATTCAGCAGCAGTTTCAGGTCGGG